CGTGTGTAACATGTTTTACTAGCTTTGATGCATTAGCTTTTAAACATGCTACACATGCATTGTCCATATGATAGAATCTTGTGCATGCATTGCATTATGTGTGTTGCATTGTGTTTGGATAGGGTGTTAATCCAAACACGAGAAACAAGGGATGTTTCATACTTGAAGTGATGAAACGTGCCTCATTTCTCGGTTGCCGACGCTCTTGATGCTCTTGATCATGCATGATAGAGGTTAAGGCCCTTATATTTTCTTTGTGCATTCATTCACATTGATTGTGCAATCTTGGCTTCTCAGCCATCGTGGATTGCGATGCTCAATTGGTGGCCCGAGAGTCGAGTATCGTACTCCCTTGAGCTTAAGAAATGATAAGGAGAGTGGTTGTGCATACATACCTTGCAAATACACTGTTGTGCCCCTTCTTATTCTCTGTTGCAGCAAAATGGAGCTTGGTGGCATTTTCTGGTCAGCAGACCAGTAAAAGTGGCTGGCCGACCACTTTTTCTGGTCTGCAACAAATGCAAGTGGTCTACAACACCAATAAGTGGTCGGCAGCCTTCCTAGAAGTTCCCATGATGGAGTAGAAACTATCTGGAGCTTTGTGCAGTGTTCTGAGATCAAATGCAAACAGAGGCAAGTTGGGGCACAACGATGGATTTCCGAGTGAGGAACCAAATGCATGCATTGTTCAACTTTCCAAAACAGAGCTGAGTAGTGTAGTTTAATGCTTATTTGCCTAGCTTGAAATTGTAACTTAATTAATTTGTTAATTAGTTAAAGTGATGTAATAATTAGTTGTAGCTAGTTATTCAATTTGTTGTGTAATAGCTAGTTTAATTAGATTAATTAGATTAGTTAGCTAGCTTAGCTTAGATGTAGCTTAGCTTATTATTCGGACCATCCGTCGAGAGGGCACAACTGTTGTAATAAGTGTGCATGTGTGTGATGCATGTCTTCCAACCCCCATTTCTTCCTCCTTTTTACTTAACCGCTTTCGATGGTTAGTTTAGGGTCATTTTCAATTAGCATCCTTATGCTTCGCATGCATGCATCATTCATTTGTTTTGCATGCACTGGGCTCGGCGCATCATACAAACTACATTGTATTTCAATACCGATTTAAATACATACTATCAAGTTGGATTCACGTGACATCTTAAAATAGCCAAGCCTACTTAGTTGCATTTTGCATGTGTTGCATTAGGCATCTTAACATAGCTAGGATCATGAATTGATTACTAATTAGTTTCTTTTTTGGCTCGGAGTACACTGTGAGTGTTTACGCTTTAGCATCCTTGCATGTATGTAAGTGACTGCCATGATGGCATGCTTGTCATGAGGCTAACTGCTTAAGTGTTTGACTACATGAATGCCTATGGATGAAGGCTTTATTGCTTGAATTGGAACAATTCATTAAAATGTGAGTTTTAAGCCCACTTTGCGGAGGGGCAAAATCATGTTGTTTTCTAAACCCACTTGAGGGTGGCAAATCCACGACTTAGCCTACTTGAGGGTAGCAACTTCAAGCCATTTTCGAAAAACAAACATGAGATGTTTTGTTCCAAATCGAGTGATTTAGTCTATACTTGTATGTTGCGCGCATCACATGGTAAGCTAGCTAATAAACTGGAATAAGAACACTAGTGTTTTCAAAAACAACATATCATGTTAGTAAAGGCCGATCTTTGATCGAGCAAGCGGGGGTGCTCATTTCAGGACCTTCCCCTCTCGTACCCAAGTTGCCTAGTCGAGGCAACTTTGGTGATGACGGACACGTGGCCTTAGGCACGAGTCAGGGTTTCCTAAATTTTCCCAAAAATAAAATATTTAGGTGGCAACTCTAAAATCTGGCAAAGCAGTCCATGTTTGGCGCTTTTTTATTAAAATCGATTTTCCAAAACGATTTGCCAGATTTGGACCCTTTAGTGATTTATCAGTCTCACATTACACTTTATGAGATTAGATTCAGAACCGTGACATGAGTCCGAACTATAGTAGCTAAGAACTATAATTCGCGCCCTCGCGCACGGAGCGAAGTTCCAGGCAATCTACAACCTGGCAGAGTGAGAAATATTATACTAATAAGGGTATAAAAATCATCATGGATATTTATTCAGGCTGAACAGAGAATCGTTTGGTACAAATAAACTATTATAATAATAGACTACAATACACAAAAATCATTTTGAATAAAAAACATATAATACAAAAATCATATAAACTAGATAATCATAACCACAGTACAGAACGGAACAGAGGGTCAATGGTTCTATAACAAACAGAGGGTCACAAAGTGACTAATCAAAGAGTCGATGGTTGTTTAAGTTCTCCAAGGCATGAGACCATCAGAGGGTCACTAAAGTGACAAATTAGAGAGACAATGGTTATTTAAGTTTCCCAAGGAGTGGGACTTTTGTGGTGGTACTTACAAAATAGTTGTTGAAAAATGAAATTAATAAACAGAATTATCTATGAGTTTCTCCTTTTAAGAAAATAGGGTTCTTTTAATAAATAACATACTTTAAAAACTAATATAATTTGCAAAACAGATTTTGCAAAAACAATTTATGATTGCTCAAAATATAACAAGACTCACCTCAAATTTGATCATTTACTTTCTGATTTCGGCTCACTCTTTCATATACATCTCGTTTGTTATTTATTTATTATTTTTTTTTCTATGATTTCATTACCATACAAACTTACCTATTTATTGGTGATAAAACCCCCCACTATGGCCCCCAAAAAATGTTACAATTCTATTTTTTTTATTATTATTATTTTCAAAGATTAAGTAAATATAGTTTGGGGTGTCACAAAAAGTCACTCATTGGTCACCTTTAAAATGAAAAAAAAAATCCAAAAATTTTAATTTGTAAACCCCTAAAGAAAAAGTGCCTCTTTCATCAAAGACAAATAAATTAGTTTCCATTTTTTTTAGAGACAATCATACCTTTAATAACTATTTTTATATTTCAAACTTTAAAATGATATAACTTTTGATCTATATATTGGTTTTTAATAAAATTAGTAGTTTTAGAATCCTCTCGTCAATATCTATTACATTGGGGTGCCTCTATTTACACACCACTTTTCCTCTCAAGGCACACCATTAATTGGTTTAATTCTTATTACAATATTAACCTTATGTAAAATGACCACAAAGGACAAATGGCTATAATACACATTTGTGTAAAATTACCATAAAGGATAATAATGAATACAATACACACCAAGTATCTCAAAAGTTACTTACGTATCTTATTCTCTCTCAAGAATCCAAAAACCCTGAGACAAAAACCAAAAGCCCTCATCACCTTGACTTCGACCTCGACCTCAACCTTGACCTCAAACTCGAACTCGAACTCGAACTCGCCCACGAGCAGGATTTGTTAATGCACAACATCGTCTCTCTGAGGTAGTGGATGGAATACGCAAAGGGTCATCCATTTTCTGAAAATGAAACAAAAAACAGTGAAGGATAAGCCCGTTCGGAAGTATAGAGCCAAACTATTCAATTTTGTTCGACACTCAAATTTCGAACATATTGAACTTGTTCGACAGACTAAGTCTGAATAGTTTACTTAAGTTCGAACTAAACTGTCGAACATATTGAATTTGTTCGACAGAAACATTCCGGACAAAAGATTAATATTCGACAAACCAGTGTCGAACGGTTCGCAAAATCAAACTTTCATATACAATGCCATTGGTTCGCAAAATCAAACATTTATATACAATGCTCATGGCAATGCAAAAACATACATAAAATCCTCAAATCTAAGCAAAATGAGAATTCTTACTTACTGTAGCTTTAATGTGGAGTTGTTTCCATCGGCGTCTTTGATGAAATAGAGAATGGAGGAGAATGGGTCTTCACCACTGGCATTTTTGATGAAACATAGAATGGAAGAGGAGATGAAAGATTGTAGGTGGGGTGTGTGAGTTAGGATAAAGATAAAAGATTGTGGTGTGTATTGAGAAAATTTGTATTTATTAAATTACTAAAGGTGTACCTTGAATAGTGGTGTGTAAATAGAGATACCCATTACATTGACTACGAAATTATTTTTTTTAAAAAAAATCATAATTTTTTTATGTTGAAACTAACGTCAACATTTACGGTGAAATAGAATAAAATTTTACCGTTTACTTCAATTATGACGGGATTTTTTAAAAAAAAAAGAATTTCATAGTCAAGAGGAATCATTTTTAATAAATTTTAATGGGAGGATTCTTAAAAATACTAATTTTATAAAAAATCAACATTTAAATCAAAAGTTATATAATTTGAAAATTTAAAATATTAAATTAGTTACTAAAAATATTTTGATAATAATAGTATGTATTAAATTTTTCAAGAATTTTTTTTTTTGATACTTATTCTAAATGCATTAGAATTTTTTTATAAAAGGAATTTTGATCAAATTCCTCAAAAAAATCCAAAATTTAATCTGTATAATACTTAATATAATTATGTCAAATTCATGTACATATTATATTTAAAAAGAACATTAAAGTGACCAATATAATTTATAAAAAAAACAAAAAGCAAAAAAAAAAAAAAACCAAATATTCTTTTTATTTTTAGGTACACATACCAGGAAGAAGTTAGAAAAATGTTTGAGGGCCAAAATCGTTTGGCTCGAAATTGGTTCGAAACTCAAAATGACGTCGTTTTGGGTTTTCTTACCGGTAACATGTAATAAAGTTTTCTTACCAGTAAGATATATTACAATTCTCTTACCGGTAAGATAATGTAAAACGACGTCGTTTTGGATTCGGAGCAAATTCGAGTTTGAAAATTTCGGGCCATGTAGCAGTGGTGCAGGAAGTTATCCAGTGCAGAGGCATTGCACACATATTTTCTGTGCTGACTCAGCACGACGCGGTTCTCTATCATTGGTATCCCAAAAAAACCCTATTTAGACCCCCGTCGTAGGTAATCTCTCTTCAAACCCCTGACAGACGAGTCCGTACTCTCTCTGGTACGATAAAAAAAACCCTAATTTTATTTCTTAGTTCACTTCGAACGAGTATCATCATCACCATCGTCTCTATTTCGTAGAATGCCTCAAAGTTCATCGGCGAAAAAACACGGTTCAGAGCAGCCGGACGTTGCTGGTCCCACCCCAAAATCACTGCGCACCAAAATGATGAAATCTACAGATGATTCTGAGAAGAAGGTAAAGTGAGGTTTCAATTCATATTTCAACGATTACCCAGTACTCGAATCACCCGAATTACGCAACCCATGATCGCAAAATAAGTTATATTTGTATAAAAATGTGACCTTGATTTGTTTATTGTTAATGGGCTTTGTGCAGAGCTTGAAGAAACAGCTCAAAGATGTTGAAATTAGCGTTCCTGTAGTGTACGGTAGCGCTGCATTCTGGCTAGGTAAAAAGGCAAGCGAGTAAGTATCGGTGACAGTATATCACTTCTTGAATTGCCTTTCACCTGTTTGAGTAAATGCCTGTTTGAGTTTTTCAGTGTTGATTAGGTTCCAGTATCATAAATGGGTTGTTTATGAATTTCCTTTTACCTGTTTGAGCAAATGCCTGTTTGGCTTTGTCAATGTTGATTAGGTTCCAGTCTCAGAAATGGAAAGTTTATGAATTGTCTTTTATCTGCTTGAGTAGATGCCAATTTGAGTTTTGTCAATGTTGTTGATTAGGTTCCAGTCTCAGAAATGGAAAGTTTATGAATTGTCTTTCACATGTTTGAGCAAATGCCAATTTGAGTTTGTCAATGTTAATTAGGTTCCCTGTCTTGGAAATTGACTGTTTATGAAATGTCTTTTACCTGTTTGAGCTAATGCTTATTTGAGTTTTGTCAATGTTGATTAGGTTCCAGTCTCATAAGTGGACTGTTTATGTTCGCGGCGCAACGAATGAGGATCTTGGTGTGGTGGTTAAGCGTGCTGTCTTTCAATTACATGCCAGTTTCAATAATCCAACGAGGGTTATGGAGTCCCCACCGTTTGAGTTGTCTGAGTCTGGATGGGGTGAATTTGAAATCGCCATCACCCTTCATTTCCACAGTGATGTTTGTGATAAGCCGTTGCACTTGTGAGTTGCTTTGCTCATTACATGGTTCTGGTTTGTGCTGCACTTGCTTGGCAACCATGTGCTTGCCAATTTTGTTTTTAGTATTTTTTGGAGTTTTGAAAGTATGCTACAACCACTGTGTGACAAAATATTGGATGAACTTTCTGACTTGGAAATTTTCACTGTGAATGAAGTCGTGTTTGAATAAACTGGTCTTGAAATTTTCACTGTGAATATAATTGTGCTTGAACCAATCTTCTGGTTTGGTAACATGATTCAAGGTCATGGTGTTGATGTTATCTCAAATTTGACGCATTCACAATCTTGCATCACAGTGTCGGGTGATGCACGATGATTTGCCAGATTCAAGAATAAAAAATTATTGGAATTTTTTGTAAAAGTGCAATCAACACAATGTGGCCATAGGATTAGTAGATATTGTCTAGAACTTCAATGTAAATGTTACCGAGTTTAGTTTACTTTAAATAGTTGTATAATGCATACTCAACTCGATCTAGAATTAGTCTTCAAAAATAAAAGAACATTATGGACCCATAATATTTGTCCAGGTAGAACTAGCTTCATCAAAAAAAAAAAAAACCCCAAATATTCTTTTTATTTTAGATAAAATCACTCACATATTTTCCATTATCTCTCCTTTCCTATTTCAACCATCAGCGTGATAAAAACACACACACACTTTCTCTCTCTATATATATCGTCTTCAATATTCCAAAGTAGAAAATTCCTACAAGATTGCAAGAGATGGTTTTACAATCGACTGATAAAATTTTGATAATTGCTATATTTCAAACCTTATTTGTTGTATTTTAGTGATTATTTGGATCAAAACTTGCGATTGAGCCATACAAAAGATGTGTATTTCGTTTGTTTCTTTAGATGAAATAGTGAATAATTGTTGAAATTTTGTTTGGTGAGATTGAAAATTGAACAATATGTATTTCATTTGTTACGATTATTTTTTATTGAGTCTGATTGAATAATGATATTTTTTTTTGTTATATTAATTTTATTATTGTTTACTTTGGTATTATGTGGCCTGTGTTTTATTAGCTGATATACTCTATTTTAATAGCAAAATTTTACTTTGGTTTGCAATAACAATATGTAACTTGTTTTTTATTTGCTGACTCTTTTTTAAATTAATTGCAAACTTTTACTTTGTTAACATTATCATTTTATTGCTTTATTAAATTTTTTATTTAATATTTTTACTTGTGATTGCAACAACTATTGTGATTATTATAGTGAATCGGAGTACAATTTTACTATTTGCATTAATTTTGAAGGTAAAATTTTGATTAGTTAAAAGAAAAATTCATTGACAACATGATCTTATTTAATAGATCTTGACGAGAAGATTCTAAAAATACTAATTTTATTAAAAAATGACATTTAGAGCAAAAGTTTTATCATTTTAAAATTTAAAATATGAAATTA